ATTTCCTCAAAATCTTGCATGAAAAAATAGTTAGCCTATTGCGTTCTGGCGTTGTTTGCCATTTCCTACCAATCAGGTGGCTTTATTAGTTTCAATGATGGCAGAGCGCGCGTCAATTGGCAGCAGGAGCTGGTAGACTGGCTGGATTTCAAGAAGACGAGACGTTCAACATGGCTTCACACCACCACTAGTGTTTGGTTACTGTTGTGTTTCCCTTTTACTGCTCTTAACAGATGTGTTGAATAGTTTTGCAAGTACATAAATGATTTAAAGATGTATCTTGTCCTGATTGGTTTATGTTAATGGTATATTAGTGGGTAATACCTAGTAGATAACTTGTCATCCACATAATTCTAAGTTAGGGTAAACACAGTATTGCAGAGTATTGCAATAAGCACACCCAACTTTCCAATACACATATACTGTATAGTTGCTAGTAATTATTACGAGCAATGACATGGTAGAGGCGTAAGTTAGTATATCTACTATTCTTTTACAAAATGGCACACCCGAGACGTTGAGACAAACCATTGTGTGAGTACTTTTACTTAAAAAAATACTTTAAAGTAAATTTAAAAGTAATTACTTAGTACTTTCACTTAAGTAAGATTGTTGATGTAGCACTTCTACTTTTACTTGAGTACATATTTTGCAGGATATTTGTACTTTTATTTAAGTACTAAGCTTCAGTACTTCTTCTACCACTGCTCCCGGCAGGCCTCGGCATTTTGACACGTTTAAACTTTATTTTCACTTCATTTATTTAAATATGTATTTTTTATGATATAATTTAACATTTTATTTGAATTATTCATGTGTGATTTCGCATAAGGTATCAGCCCCAGCGAGCCTTTGAGTGTGATTGGTGGTGATTTTTATGTATTCATCTCTCTGTTATTATTTGACCCCTCATGGTGGCCCTGGGGCTGCCCCACCTTCACCCCCCCCCCCCCCATCTTTCAAGTGTCTAAGCTCTCCCACTTCTGCCAGGGGAACAAGGGCGGAGTGGCGATTCGCTTCGTCTTCCACAACACCAGCTTCTGCTTTGTCAACTCCCACCTGGCAGCCCACGCCGAAGACTGCGAGCGCCGCAACCAAGACTACAAGGATATCTGCGCCCGCATGAGCTTCCACCTGCCTGGCCGGCCGGCCCTGAGCATCGTCAAGCACGAGTGGGTGCCCCCGCCCTCACCCCCACAGCATGACATCTGTGACATTGTGTTCATTTTACTGTTTACCAAAAGCTTAAGTCGAGTCGGTGTTGCTGTTTATGCAACTGGGTATTGTACTGGAGTAATCAATCTTAAATATATGTCTCTAGCGTGCGATGGCAGTGCTCTGAGATTACTAGCCTGTCCCAGTAGCAGCTGCATCACAGCATGGCTGAGAGTGGCACTCATTACCATTACAGTCACATTTACGTTTATTTAATTAGCAGATGCTTGTGGCTAAAGTGGCGCATGAGGTGTGGGGTCAGAGAGCAGGGTCAGCCTACATCCAGCATCCCTGGAACAACTAGATTTAAGGGCCCAGTGATGATGTGGTTATCTTGGTTGTCATGGGATTCAAACCAACAACCTTCTAGATATGGGCACTGATATCTTACTGAGCTACTCGCCACTGTCCAGTCACCACCATGGCACCACTTATGGCTTTTCCGGTCCCTCCATGTACCATTGTCCATTCCCTGGCAGTGTGGTCATCTGGCTGGGCGACCTGAATTACCGCCTCTTCCTGTACGATGTGTACGAAGTGAAGCGGCTCATCTCCAAGAAGGAGTTAAAGAAGCTTCTGGATCGTGACCAGGTGAGGGACGCCTGCACGTCGTCTCTCACAGCACAGCAAAGTGGCCCCTTTCTGATTCATCTCCTCGCCTCACAATAATGTTTCCTTTTAAAAAGCTCAATGTCCAAAGGGATACCAGGAACGCGTTCTCAGATTTCACCGAGGGAGAGATAAACTTCATACCCACATATAAATTTGACCCCAAAACAGACCGATGGGATTCAAGGTAATTGCTCCTCCTCTCATTTTCCCCTTGACTTTACTAGCCCCGTTATACAGTGTGAATATATATGTTAAGGGTTGCCGTTTTCATGACAAGGCTGTTGGTGTTTCTTTATTAATGACTTCCCCCAGAAACAAATACTAGTTAATATGAGTTCCTGCCTACAGCTGTTGTTCTAGTTTTGAGTTAGCCTTAAAAGACAGTCAGTTTTGGAAAATCATTCGGATTTAAGAGAAATACTTGCATAGTCACTGCAAGCAGAGTGCCTGGTTGAGTCTGGTGACCCCTCGTCCGAAAGTGACTGACTCCCTGTGTTCTCCCTGAAGCGGAAAGTGCCGGGTCCCGGCCTGGTGTGACCGGATCCTCTGGAGGGGAAGCAGTGTGAAACAGCTGGAGTACCGCAGTCACATGCAGCTGCAGACCAGTGATCACAAGCCTGTCAGCTCGCTCTTCCAAATTGGGGTATGAGCCGGACTTGCTGCACTCGCTGTCTCTCTCAGATTCTCGCTACCAGCGGATCTAGTGACTCGCCCATTAGCAAGTAGAGAAGTGTGCAGGGCTGCCAGCTCTATTATTCCATTATGAATCTAAAATGAGCTACATCAAAAGCTTTGGGATTTTCTATTAATGACATAATGAAACTGTTACATACATGTAAATGAATGTGCAGGCTTGTCTTGAATTGAAAATCTCACACCAGCCAGCTGACCAAAGGTGGCAATGCTGAATATGACTGTTTGAAGTGTTAATTTACCGTGTAATACGTTGGTGTTTTGTGTGGCGAATGACCACCATGGCATGTTTGTTATGTTAGGAAAGAGAATTGTCCATTTGTATTGTGTATGTTCCTCTCTAGTACAAATCTACTTAGAAATTTCTCAGAAATGTGTATTTCTCCTGAAAGCTTCTCCTTCTGGCTGCCATCCTTATATTTTGATTATTGTATCTGGATTTATGACACTTGCACAGAACTTTGTGTTATGGTTGGAATGTGCTGGAAGCCTCCGGGAGCTAATGGCCTATCGCAGCCTTTGGACTGCAGTGTTTGCGACGATGGTGCTGTGTGTGACAGGTGAAGGTGGTCAATGAGAAGCGCCAGAAGCTGGTGCTGGAGGAGGTCATGCGTGAGATTGACCGGATGGAGAATGAGTTTCTGCCCTCCCTGTCGCTGACTCAGAGTGAGGTGAGTCGAAGGTTCTCTTGTCCACAGATATGGGAACGAGATTTAGACAGAGAGGTGGTTTAGGATCTGGACTTGTGGCTGAAAACCCGCTGGTTCAGATTTCGTGAGGGATGCAGCTCCAGAACCCTTAACCCCTGGACTGCTTAATTTAATTTATAGATGAAATGCTTCCAGAACACCACAATAATGGTATCTCCTATTCTTCTCTAGTTCACTTTCGAAGGGGTGAAGTTCTGGCAGCAGCAGTGCAGGTACCTGCTGATAAAGAACGACGGACAGGTGCCCTGCCACTTCTCCTTCATCCCCAAACTCCGAGCATCCCAGTTCTGCAAGCCCTGGCTGAAGGTCGACCCCAGCGATGGCTTCCTGGAGCCCAGTGAGTCCGCAGCACAGCCGGATGGCTGCTTCCAGTTTGAGCTGGCCTCCCATACTCATCGCCTTTCTGTTCTGTGCTGAGATGGTTCACACTGCTGGGTGGCACATTACATAGCCAGAAGACTGAAGGTCATGTGATCAGGATAAAGGCATGTGGCTGAAACAGCTCAAGGAAATTGCTGCTGTTACTTCTAGAAAACAATCCATAGCATACACAGCTTAAAAGTTAACATATATATTGTGATTTTGTTTCCTACTGAGCTCCTACTCCTAACTGCCCTGTGCTTTGTCATCTTTCTTATTGCTCCCTTCATCTCTCAGCTATGTGATTCTGTTCCTCCACAACCTATCCACCTCCCATGTGAAATTATACAGTACCAACCAAAGTTTGCCAAGGTACCTACAAAGGAGAGTGATAGTGTGGCGTCACATGACCAGTATAAATGGTTTTGGAAGAGTTTGACCAGAAAGCAAAGGAAAAGCGGCCAATTAGTGCTCAGTATATGTGGGACATCCTTCAGGACAGCTGGCAGAGCATCCCAGGAGGCCACCTCATGAAACTGGGGTAAAGGAGACAGTAGGGTCAGCCAGTTCCTGAAGCTATTGGGGTTAAGGGCCTTTCTGAAAGGCCCAATGGTGGGATCACTCTGCTGACCCAGGGATTTGAACCTGCAACCTTCTGAGTCCCAACCCACAGGGATGCTCACCCAATTTTTTTTACTACTTTTCTGGTCAGTGCATAATTCCATATATATTACTTTATAGTTTTGATGTCTCTAGAATTATTCTAAAATGTAGACAGTACTACAAATAAACCTTTCTGTGGATAGAACTTTTATCCAGTAGTGTATGTATTAATGAGAACCAACTGTATTTACTAATAACCAGTAATCCTTCCTGGCCACTGTAGATGAAATGCTGGAGATCAGCCTGGAGGTGCATGTGACCAAAGACTCTGTGGCCCAGCTGAACTCCGGGGAGGATACCCTCGATGATATTCTAGTGCTGCACCTAGACCGGGGCAAGGATTACTTCATCTCTCTCAGTGGCACCTATCTGCCCAGCTGCTTTGGCATGTCCCTGGAGGCACTGTGCCACACCAAGAAGCCCATCCGTGAGATCCCCGTGACCAAGCTCATCGATGTGGTGAGGCCATATCACTGTTGGAGCCTGAGCTGGAGAGATCCAAAAAAGTACCATTATCGGGTCGCTCTCAGTGACCTGTTCTAGGCACCTAGTGAGAACATCAGTAGTAGAACCTACAGAGGTTGAGTGATTGGCACCCTGGGCACAGCTTAAGGGCCAGCTGTGGGTACATTAACACATCGCAGATGCAGTGGGTTGGCACCCCATCCTCTGATATTCCACCCCTTAGCTTCCGGAATAGGGTCTGGACCTCTGTAACCCTGCGTCGGACAAGCAGGAACGGAATATCTAATGTTGTAAAATCTTCAGCTTTTCATCTGTAAGTGATGATGGCCTGGCTTCACAGTCCTGCAGTACAACAATTGGGATACATGCAAATAAACTGGCTTGTTTGATCAAAGCAGCATATGAGTTTCGCTATTGACTACAACTAGGATCATCCTGTATAAAGGTCACATTTACCCCTTACAAAGCATCTTTTTTTAATGTGCGATCATTTTGTCTGCTTTCTTTCTTTTTCACCACCACCACCACTTCGATTACCCTCATGGACTGTTTGCTACTCAGGAAGAAGAAAGCAGCGTGAGACAGGTAACCAAAATGGTACCAGGTGTGGGACCTGCATGGCAGTTTCTCTTTAGTTTATAGCTTCTGTTAACTTAAACGGGTAACTGAAGTTGGGCTATCTGTGGTGTCAGAATTAAGGTAAAATTGTCTTCAGGAAAACAAATCATCGAAGGTTAAGATTATTTACCTATATTCAATTCACGACCTTTTGTAAGAAGTAGGTAAAAGATGCAAGTCTGCATAAGCAAGTTTCTTACCTATTGAATTAATCCTGTATGCCATCTTACTTGGGGAAAAGAGAGCTTACATTCTTCAGACTACAGGTTAACACTAATTCTTCTGATACTTAAAAATGTTTTCAAGTTAATTTGTTATTAAGCTGCACTGAGGACTTATTTAATTGTTTAATACATACATGCTCATTTTTTTTTTCCTCTCAGTCTTTTCTGAGCTTCTTGGAGGTAGAAAACGCAGGAAGCGGGGACCGGCCTCTGAGGATCCCCAAGGAGGTGTGGCTTCTGGTCAACCACCTATCTACTAAATGCTCCCATCAGGTGAGCCCAAGAAGTGCTATTTTATGCTTCTGCCATGAGCTGTGCAATGAGAGGAACAGCCCGCTCACTGTTCACTGTATGTGTTCACCGGCACCAGGAGGACCTCTTCAACATAGCAGGCTTGCCAGATGAGCTGCAGGCCATCATCGACTGTCTGGAAACCAGCATCCCCAGCACCATCCGTATCCTGTTCACGTGGCCTTACTTTCCCAGTCATATGGAAACGTTTCCTTTAGACCACAGTGGTCCTGCATGACAGCAATGGCATTTGGCATTAAGTGTGCCTGGATGTCTCACAATCTGCTAATTTGTTGGTATAATTTCTTGGAAGGTAGTAACATCCAGATCAACATCAACTTTTCAAAGAGAGTGTTGCAATATAGTGTGTACAGTTTGGGTGTTGAAATAGTTTAGGGTGAGATTCAGGGTTTGATGTTATAGTCATTTGTCATTTAATTGCTAACAGTGTTGGCAGGCTGTCAAAAAACACAAACAAATGTTTTCCCAGATTGACCTCTATTCACAATCCATCACAAATAGTTCAGTGGTTGAATGCATGGGTTTCACTAATGTGTTCTGCCTGTAGACCACAGTACTCTTTATGTGCTTGGTTGTTATTGTATTCCCCTGATGGGGAATACATATCATTTTGGCACCGTTCTGCCACTGTGATTCTGTTCCTCCCTAATCTCTCCTCCTCCATGTGTGATTCTGTTCCTCACTAATGTCTCCACCTCCATGTGTGATTCTGTTCCTCCCTAATCTCTCCTCCTCCATGTGTGATTCTGTTCCTCCCTAATCTCTCCTCCTCCATGTGTGATTCTGTTCCTCACTAATGTCTCCACCTCCATGTGTGATTCTGTTCCTCCTGAATCTCTCCAACTCTCTTTGTGTGATTCTATTCCTCCCTAATCTCTTACCTCCGTGTATGATTTTGTTCCTCCCTTATCTCTCCTTCTGCATGTATGATTTTGTTCCTCCCTTATCTCTCCTTCTGCATGTATGATTCTGTTGCTCCCTAATCTCTCCACCTCCATGTGTAATTCTGTTCCTCCCTAATCTCTCCTCCTCCATGTGTGAATCTGTTCCTCATTAATCTTTCTACCTCCACATGTGATTCTGTTCCTCCCTTGCTTCTTCACCTCACCTCTCTACGTGCACGTCCGCTGGTTCGTCCTCCCACCCTCCCCATCCGAACTCCCATCACTGGGCCAGGCCACTTCTTCAGCCCGTTGCACCCTGACTACAACGTGCGCCAGCTGGCAGCAGCCACTCAGTGGCGCAGGCCCTGGTCATCTTCCTGGAGGCTCTGCCAGAGCCAGTGGTGTGTTACAGGTTTTATAGGCAATGCCTCGACTGTTCACACGACAGTCGCCTTTGCAGACAGGTGCGCCCCCCCAACGTGCGTCAGTGTTGCTTGCAGCAACCGTGACCGTCACGTGTCACTGATCATTGCTCATTGGTTATGCTTCTCTGGCCTCCCACAGTTGGTTGCCCAGCTGCCCCCGTCTCATGAAAATGTGTTCCATTACTTGGTGGCCTTCCTGAAGGGCCTTCTGAAGCACTCTCAAAGCAACCACCTCAAAGTCACCTTCTTGGGTAAGTCGTCTGGCTCGTTATTGTCGACTTACATCTTTAGTTAGAACCGCTTCCTGTACACCAGTGTCCTTTTTTGTGTTCCCGAAAGCCACCTTGTTCTCCAGCCTCCTCATTCGGCCCCCACCAAAGCTGGCAGGCAAGCAGACACCAAGTGATCGGCAGAAAGCCAATAATTTCATCTTGGGGTTCCTCGTGGGGGGTGACGAAGAGTAAGAACAACCTCTAAGAAGACGCGCCCAGCTGGTCTTGATGAACTGGCAAGGTGGCCATACTTTAAGATGCGAGATTTCTGATGGTTCATGGTTTCTTCTGAGCAGGTTTGAGACATTAATTCCAACAGGAGTGCGATGTCTGGAATGCGTTTTTGATGTGAAGTCTATGCAGCTGATCACTGTGATCACTATGTGGTGATGAAGAGCGAGTTACAGGGAAGGGTCCTGCATTTAGCTTTCTGTTCGCTGACTGCTACATTCTGCCAAAACCTGGACATTGCACTATTCAGACGTGTGTCCCGATTTTGGAAGGTGAATGATCAGATAGGACACTAAGGAGTTTGACCAAAAGTGCTTTGAAGACGTTAGTGTTACTCCGTGCTGTTCTGTATTCCAAAAACCTTTTTATTTTTTCTTGAATGAAACATCAGAGCTGTCCAAGGGTGGTTTCTTGGATTCAGGGCAACTGTAAATCTATGCCCAAGAGAATAAAGAAAAATCTTTTCTTGTGCAGTTAGAATGAAAACCTCAGTCCATTAATGACCAGGAAACCTTCATTTGATGGCCAAAACCTGGAGCCTGTATTGTCTCTTGTGTGGAAGTTTTGAATGTTTTTACTTAATTTAATTTCTAGGAATCCTTTCCTGTTCTTCTGTCGTCAGATACTGTATTCATGTTTTATTAAGCCCAACAATAAGCTAAACGCACAAGCTGAGGTCAGCAATGTTTTCGATGTCCTTTTGTCTGTTTGGTGGCTCCCTTTCTATCCAGAAGTCCCTGTTTATTTTCTGGTGCTGCTTAAAACCTCGCGCTCTACCTAAGTGATGCTGGTCTGTGGTGACACAGTTGACTACTATATTCATTGTTGTTCATATGAGATGTCGTCGGGTCACAAAAATTTATGCAGTTACGCGTGAACTCTTTTCTGTATACGTATTTGTGTGTTTTTACGTGTGTACATACGTGTTTACAGATAGCTGTGTCACTGTTTTACTTAGTCGTGGATCGTGATGTTGTCTGACAGTAATTTGCTGGTCAGTATCTCATAGGCGTTTACTTGCTGTTCTATGTAGTTTATCACAAATGGTATTTTTCAGTGACTTTCCTGCAGCACACTGAAGGGCTCATATAGAGATGAGATGACAGAGACAAAAATATATAATGATTGTTAATCTTGATCGTGATTGAAAGTCTGAAAAGGTATTTTCTATAAAAGCTTTCTTAATTCAAAGAAATTACCATTAATATATAAAGCAACAGACTGTATGGTTATCAGCTGATTCAAGCAGCTACATAAAAAAAATTACTTTATTTATAATGTTCCACAGGCGCAAATAGGAATATAGGTGCAATAAATGCAGCATTTCAAGCTTGCATACCAGACGTTTTTGCACTGTTGAATACGGACTGCTTCTTACAGTTTCTTGTCTGTTTGGTTTCCTTGAGTCACAATGATAAATTGCAGTCAAGTTACAACTGCACTGGTACTGCCCTCTGCATTGTTAGGTTGGCCATGATTGACTGCTGTGCTGAGATTTTCAAACCATGCAGATTCAAAAATCTGTATATTAGATGGTTAGTTTGGCACGGTTGTAGGGATGCTTGAACATAATTAGTAATAACTGAAATAACCAACATACACTAAATTAGTTCACTTGGTTTTAAATTGTCAGCTTTAACTCCCCAGCAGTATTTTATCGTAATTGTCATTTAAGAAAACTTAAAATGGTTCAGCCAAGAGGCTATAAGAACTTTTTAGGCGCTTCTGTAATGTATGAACTGGTACAGAGTCATCTCAATCAGTGTTTGAAGCATCTCTTGTGATTACAGTATGCAGGGGCGCCGCTAGAGATTTTGGGCCCCATGAAAGCATATCATATTAGGCCCCCCAGTCCAAACCAATCCAGTTATTTTCCTAATTTTTTAGGGCCCCTGTCACTCAGGGGCCCTTGGAATCGTCCTAGCTTTCCTCCCCCTTACGGCGCCCCTGACAGTATGCATCTGTTTTTGCTGGTTACCTTTGTCTGAAGGGGTCTGCAAAACAGACTTTCCTCTTACTTAATCTTTGCTCTGTGTTTATATTCAGTATATTGACTTGAAGAGAGAGCTGTGGGAGTGGGCATGGGGGGGGGGGGGGGTTCATTTTATGATTATCAAGCAACATCTGCTTGACCTAGATTTGCTGACAGCAAAAGAGTTCTGGAATGTCCCCGTTGGGAAACTTCCTACACATTGACTCATATGTTCCCAAAATGTGTACAGCCTTAACCTCCTCCCTCCACCGCAAACACTCTTGTAATAAAGCATTATTTGAAATGCTAACAGACTTAGCCCTTCCCCCATGAGGAAGTACAGTCTTTCCAGAGCATTACTTGTACTGATGGCATTTGTGTGTGAATCCAGTGTCTTTCCAAGAGATGGGAACATGTGTCTGCTTTGGATATCTATGAGAAAATCCCTTCAACTGCACCTGTAAATACTGTAGATTTTCCTGTGTTTTTAGTACTTTTAATTTATTTGTATTTTAAAGGAAGTAAAAGTTGTGTAAAGTTAGTAGTAGTGGTGTATTTTTTTCCCCCAAGTTGTGAGTTTCACACTGGAGGAAGGCAACCAGATGTGAGTGATGGGGGAGACAGATAGTGAATCATCTTATTTAGAGTATGGGGGACGGAAACCAACGAGGGGCTTAATCAGGGCAACAGTGCAGATGGGCAAATAGGACAAGTCAGGGGACACTGGGTCACAAAGAGACAGAGGACATGGCATCACAATGGGATGGGGGATATCAGGTCACATGGAGACTGGGGAGATGAGGACACAAAGACAGGGACATAGGGACACGAAGAGACTGGGATCATGTGGTCACAAAGTGAAGGAGGACACAGGGACGCAGGGTCACAAAGAGAGAGGGGATACAGGGACGCAGGGTCACAAAGTGAAGGAGGACACAGAGACGCAGGGTCACAAAGTGAAGGAGGACACAGGGACGCAGGGTCACAAAGAGAGAGGGGATACAGTGTCCCAGAGTAAGAAAAAAAAAGTCATAAACAGATAAGGGGACATGGAGATAGAGGGTCACAGAGACGGGGACATGGTGTCACAAAGATGGGGACATGGGGTCACAGTCAATATGAGACGCGACATGGCGACACAGGGTCACAGAGATGGAGGGCTCAGGATCACAGTGACTGGGGACATGCTGTCACAAAGATGGGGGCATGGGGTCACAGTCAAAATGAGACAGGAAATAGGGACACGGTCACAAAGGGACGGGACATGGAGACACAAGGTCACAAAGAGAAGGGGGACATGGGATCACAGAGAGAAATCCAGTTTGGGTGTAGTGTGGGAAAGGACATTCAGGATACATTTATTTACTGTGGTAAGAGAGAGAATTAAGTGTAAGCACACCCTATCACCTGATTCATGCTCCTGAAACTACCACCCCCACTGCACCCCCCATGACAGACTGTATGTCCTGATGCCATCTTATGTGCTCCTCCCAGGTGGGAGGAGTATTTCAGGTGGATATCTTACTGAAGGTTACAAATTACCTACTGCGCAAAGCTTTAGAAGCAGTCCCCTTCCTAAGATATGAGTTACTTACAAGCATAATGGACCATACAATGCATGTATAGTACAGTGATATGTACTGGTGTTAGATATCATTCATCCTGTATAAATATATATTTTTAAAAATATGGATTCCATTATGGCTGGAGAATTAACCATATACCCACTGCTCACAAACTAACTAAGTGGTGTCATGCTCATATTAAGCAGCAGAGGGCACTCTTTACAAACATGCTCAGCCCTCTTTTTTTTATGGCCAGTTCTCAGCTAGCGTCGGATGGAGAGGTGCGACACAGCTGTCCCTTTCCTGCTCAGTTACAAGCACCCACCTGCCAGAATGATTCTCAGCAACACGCCTTGAAACAATCTTTCCTAATTCATAGTTCCGTTAGTGTGAATTAGCAGCATTATTACTGAAGATTTCCCATTAACTCCCTTTTTGCAGATGTACCACTGTGGAAGTATGTCTTGAAATAACAGGCAAATACCAAGCTAGTTTGCACCGACAGGAGATAAATCGAGGAGGGCGGGGTGTCTACAGAGGGCGCACAATGTGGATATGATATGTGTAGTTCATGCAGAAAGGCGTTGTGCTGAGCAGAACCAATCAGACGAGACCTTGGCATCACAAACAGCTCAGACGGATTCAGGGCCTTCAGCACTGGCTTCACAGGGAGAAGTCAATGAGCCTGTGTGGAGACCCTGTTCCCGCCGTTATTGGCTCATGGCGCGTTCGAAATCTACGGGAGAGAGTGACTTTTTGAAAAAGCTCTGCCCTACGGCATATGGCAAGGAAGGAAGGCAGAGGGATTTCTGTGCAAAACCACACCGAGTCAGGACAGTGTCCAGCTACCGCCGCGCCTCTCTGCCGAAACGTACCCCCGCATTCAGACGCCCAGGGTGGCTTCATCTGATACTGCCACATATTTAGACTTAAACTGCTGGTACGCAGCGTACGGAAAGTCTTTGCCAATCAATTTGTATACCTCAGTAGCTGTAACAACAAGTAATAATAACAATAAGAAGAAGACGTTGATGAAGAGACCTGAATGGCCTGGATCAAGGGACATTTTTTTAATTTGAATTTAGAGTGGACATCTCATTTACTCTTTGGTGCACCCTACTGGAGCAAGTGCTGCACAACAAATCAGCTGTATGTCCATGACCACACTCCCTGTGAGTGCATATTCTTATTCATATAGCATATGTATGGATATGTAACACACACACACAAATATATATATATATATATTTAATCATGACGTCCTATCGGGCCCATGGCAGCTGTCGAGTTCACCTGTGTCTGGATCCGGTCCTGATGATGAGCAGCCTCAGGGGAGCCAAAATACGGAACAAAGAGCAGCGGCTCGTCTTTTATTAACTACTGTTATTATTACTTCTGTTACCCAACGTTTCACATTCCTATGGTTCCTCTAGTGGTGTTTTCATTTTAACCAAGTAACTGGAACCACACTTACGTATCAACAATGGGGGGGGGGGCGGTCTATAATTACACACTATAGTTAGAAAAACACACAAAGAATGTGGTTATGATGGAACATAACGAAAGATCAGCTATTCATCTGCTCGACATAACAGAGGAATACAGAGAATACTGCCGATTACAGTACTTTGAGCACATGGTCAGAACGGAGTCACCCGTGTGACACACTCCCGCAGCACACGTGAACCCTCAGGATGAGTGGCAAAGCTGCCTCACCTCTGCACAGAATAACAAACACACCTCGGTTCATTGCTGTCACTGTGCCACTCCCACCCCCATCTCTCCAAATAAACAGTCCCTGCTCCCCCGTTAGAAATATATCTCGCTGGTATCTACTGTAAACAGCCCTGTGTGATGGACGACTTGCTTTCATCCAGCCCTGAGGTCCGACTGAAGTCCTAGGGGTGTGACTGAAGCCCACTTTCGGAGAAGCTTCCAGAATTCACTTGTCCAACTGTATCATAATACCAAGATTAGCCGCATCAACTAGTGAAGCAACTTCACTGTGGGATACCACTCTATTCTTAAGGTTTAAACCTCAAGAAAATATAAATCCAGAAGTTACCTTCAGTTTCAGACATCTACTTGGTTGTTTACTAACAAATGTGATGTGTTACAGTAGCTTAGTTGTGTGAGTGTGTACATATGAGATATGTGTGGCAGGTTTTAAAAGTCTTTTCTATGTTTCAGTTCTTTCTATTGTAGCAGCCTGTTCTCTGTCATGATGCCAGCATGTAGTGTCAGAACAGATCAGCTGATGCACACAGACCGTGAGGGTCACATGCACAAGGTGTGGATGCTGTAGAAGGGGGCAGAATTATGCAGATACACCATGGTGACACCGTTCGTGTGTGTGTGCTGTGACATGAGGCAGGTTGCTAAGGCAACACCGTGCCCCAGCAATAACTTCCAAAGGGGCTGTGGACATTTGCACTTGAAGGACAGATTCCAGAGTGGCCATAAAAATGAGAATGCGAAAGCATCATCAGGTGGATCGCTGCTCTCGGAAGGCGTCCATATCATGGGGCTCCCTAGGCAGCCATCGTTTGCCAGCGTCTCCTGAACCATCTGCTTGGGTTGCCCGTCTACCTGTCGGCGCTTACAGTCTGGAGCCTGACAACCAGGGGCTGCCGATTTGCCTTCCGGCACGTCAGCTGTCTGTCCTTCGCCACCGAGAAGAGTAAACATAAAGAATGGTCCAGAATGTGGGCTGTCAGCGGACACTGCGCTTCTTGGTGCTGCGCTGGAATGATGCTCTCAGGTATTTCACACTCCAATTGAGCTCGCTAGAGCCTTCAGGACAGATGCTGGCAGCAGCTGACACTCAGCAAGGCTTCCACGTCCAATCAGCATGCGTGTGCTTGAGGGCTGCCCGTCATCTTGCTTTCTATCGACCTTTTTTTTTAAAGACTGACCTGAACGGTATGGTATGGCTCTGACACACCGTGGCTCCAGTGAGGTGATCGTGCTGACACGCCCTCATCTGTCAGCTGTCCTCCTTTTCCGTCTCTGCCCACATGTTTGCAGGCTGGGAGTTTTATAAAGAGAGAGATACTGCGATACCAGCACGGGGAGACATGGAGAGAGGGGTCAAGGTGGGAGCAGAAGCCCCCGCATGGATCGATGGAGTGAGAGATGGAGGAGCATCCGGGTTGTCACGGAAACTTCCAGGGAGATGGAGAGTATCTGAGCACACGTAGGCCTCACTCCTGGACAGATTTACAAAGCGGCCAGTATGCCGCAGCCATTGATCACAGGGGTCTGGCAGGTAAGTCCGACAAGCTAGACACTACAGTCAAGGTGGGGGGGTGGGGGTTCGTTCTAGAAAACTAGCCATTGATCACATGACAGACTACAACTCAGACACAGTCACTGCCTGGATAACAGCCCTCTGGTGCCGCCTCTTCCACGGGGCCGACGGCGCCCTTCCCATCCGACACCCCGGCCCCCCACCATCTGTGCTGCCCTCATGTGAACACTGACAGATAGCCTGTTCTTAACCTGAAGCCACTGGTTGACTTTCATCCCCAGAGAAGTCACCTCCGAGGCCATGGATCACATATAATCAGGGCTGCCGGTCATTTTCCTCTCGTGTTTTCCTCTGGGTGACAGCTTTCCTCCAGCCCTGCAGGTCATGAAGATGTGTAAATCAGCTGGAAAGTGCAAGTGAATATATGATCTGATATCATTTACCATGTACAGGTTTGGACCTGAGTAACAAATGGTTAAAACACATAGATCTTCCTTTAGATATCTTTGTGACTATTTTCACCGATCATTTTTTTTGCTTATTCGAATAATTCTTCAGACCCAGCTCAAATACTCCACAGGCAACAATATGAAGAAATGCATTTCATAGGTCTCCCTACAAAATGTGCATTGTTTGTCTCCACACTGACTGCTTCCTGCCAGTGAATCCATCAGCATGTGTCCTCTGCAAGGCCAATGTTATCTCTCTGCATTACTGGACAAAAGAAGGGGGAGAGCTTTGTGAATGGAGCACAGATAGATTCATCCAAGCCAAGAAGGCACCGTATTGTGCTGGAAGAGCCACCGCCTGGATTTATGCAAGGCTACTGGGCAAAGTGACTCCTTTATTGGCTCTGAAGCCCATTTATAGGGGAAGAAACTAGATTTATTTTCTTCTGACTCTCAGCCTCTAAGGCTTCTCTGCCGCTTTTTATTCTTTAGTTCGTTAATAAATTCTGTTATTGAACTGAGTTGAATAGCTCTCAGCCTATCCAATACAGGTGGATTTATTGTATTCAAGAAATAAATGCATTTTTATGCACCATTATTCAGATTATATTAAAATTAATTTAATGTCGATTTCAGCAGGGCAGAAAGTAGTACAGTGTTAGGGAACAGTCACATAAAGATCCCAGGTGTGGACTTTTCTTGTACCTTTGAGGATGGTCATTCATTTGAAAAGCCTAACTATATCCTGTTGTATTAATAGAAACAGTGCAAAAATTTGAATATATACAAGACTGCTCAGCCCAACCATGATGTCCTTTGCCTGGCGTCTTCTGCTCGCTGGAATAAGCTCCAGGCTTCCTGCAACCAGAGCTGGATAGTTAAAAAATACAGACCTTTTTCCAAATTTTTTTTTCAACCAACCACCTGAGTATTTTGTGACTGTGATTCTTTACGCTCAACTGGTTGGCTGAAACTAAATCTTGGTCTGGATTTTCTGGTCCTGAACTGTCCACCTCTGCCTGCAGCCCTACAGTGGATAAGCCTTGTGGAAAATTGACTGATGTATTTAAGACTGTTAAACAACCAAGACAAATAAACGAGAGCACTAACGTTTTTGGATGCTAGTGTTTTCTCTGTATCGATGATTGTTATTGTTACAAGAGACGAGGTGGCTGTGTGCCGTGACATCAGGTGGGTGACCTTCAGCAGTCCAGGTGCTATCAGCAAACATCTCTCAGTCACAGCAGCCCTGAGTCATCATCTGACAAGCAAAGCTGGATCAGAGGTTAATGATGAATGGGATAACCCTGCTCAATCCTGGGGTTCAATGGTCAGTGTCAGGAATGGTGTGCGTGAGGAAAAGGAGAATCACAGCTGTCACATGTGTTCGTCATTAACATACTCTGTCAGATGAATCCAATACCAATGAAATTGGAGGCACCCAACAAATTTACCAAATTGCAGCCTTGTCTAACTCAAGAACTCTATGATATGCATTCAGTGTTGGGTCATATTCACTGAATATATGTTATTGTGTATTCCCTGTAACGATCCTGGCCTTCCTTGTGAGAGTCAACACAGGAAATCCATAAAAAACAGCCTTGTCAATCAAAAGGTCTGTAAATGGTGCTCCCCTCAGCAGTCGTGGATGCACTAACACCTGTGACCTCCACAATTTAGTGCAGCTTTCCCTCCACACTGACACTAAAACCCTCATCTCAGAATAAAAATTGCTGGGCAAATAAACACAACCCATGTTTTGTGAGGAACAAAGAAAAAAAGATCATGTTTAAGACTCAGTCAGTACTGTCCAGACTGTCTGAACAAAGTCAAAGGAAACTGAACCAGGAAGGAAAAAAAGACAAAAAAACATAAAAAACAGGAGACATTCTATGAAGCAGAACTAATAACAAAGGCAGGGCTTGCTTGCCCTTTAAGGGGGCACAAGCAGGGCCCTAGATGGTGAGAAATGGGCATACTACTCCCTTTATAGGCCACTCCATGCTTGGGGTAGAATGACCACAGAGTACTCCTGGGCCCCATAAAAACCTTATTTCCAGTGCCCACTGTCCCCCCCCCCCTGCTTCTGCAGCAGAGCGGTCACATGATCATGTGATTTACTCACTCTGGCGATGCAGGCAATGTGTCCCTACGTGACCTCGACGACTCTGCTGCGACCCCCCCCCCCTCGACCCCAGCGAGGCACCACTGATGTCCGTTACATCCTCCTTCTGCTGAAGTGAGGCTCTGCATAACCCCACCCTTCACCGCAAGTCGCGCTTCCTCCCGGCAGGTGGCCCATGCTGCGGACACCATGCGTGTGGCCTTATAGGGATATTGCTTCTCTGATAACTTGTGTGGCGGTAATAGGGAAATCGATACTGACATGGGGACATTTTTAAAAAATCAGGTTGGAAACCTACATTCCCTAAATTTACTCATAGAATTTTCAGTTAAGACTGCAATTTCATAAATTAAATTTAATTTATGTCACATTAAATTATATAATTTGCTTTTTAAATGTATTGGCGTAAAAGAAAATGTTCCAACCAATTTTAACATTAAGGCTTTCACATGGATCCTTAGCTCTGCCTTATCAGTGTAGTGTGACTCCATGGACAGTGATTTAGACATAAACATTCAGGGCTTCAGCGTATTTGTTGAGCTTCAGCAGTGTCTGACAGGAGAATTCCTGCCTTTCAGTGTTGGGGGTCTTCTGCTGCTTTGAGATGAGCCTGGTGACTCACAATTATAAAAGTGCCACACAGGAAAGAGGAAAAGTCCTGGCTGTGATTCTGTCAGGCTAGCGAGTCGAAACAACTTTGTATTCCAAGGAAGCAAAAGCCTCCATTCAGACAGATTGGTGCTAGCGTCACTGGACTCATGCTGAGTTTACTGCCAGGACTAGACGTTGTTTTGCCTTGTTGAATCTGACATGTCAGAATAGCGTGGCAGCAAAATAGTCCAGAGGTTTTCCGTCACATACCTTAGTCCATATTACATATGTTTGGATTCTTCACCCTCTACTTTCACTTCAGCTTGCCTAAATACAAATGAAAATTTATAGATTCTTTCCTTCTTTAACGTTTTAGGAAAAATCTGATTCATGCATTATTTAAGAGCATCTTTTCTCATTTGAATGTTCTCTCTTCAATCTGCTCATTCCTTAAAAAAACCCACATAAAAAATCACTGCACTGTGCCACTGGTTGTAAAATCAGGCTTTAGACTTCCAGGTCTGCCATGTCAGCAACATAAAAAAGGTGAACTGAATGAAAATACATCATGTGTGTTGCATAGAGTTAGCATAGTTTGACTTCATTACCATAAAATGCGTGCATAAAAATGATTTTCCCAGCCACTAAAACCATTCAGTTATACAATACTCACACAAAACATAAAAGATGTTATGAGAAATGTCATAAGGGAAAGTTCTGGTTTTCCAATTCAGTTAATTCTGTGTTCTAGCCTAATGCATAATATAGAGTTAGCCTTGGTATAATGAACATCACTGCTTGCACTGGTAAAATGTAAACAAATGCAGTTCTGTTTATATGACTTGGAATGTGGCAGGATCAACAACCCATTTACATCACTGCCTCCGCACTACCCGGGTGCAAAAATGGTCTGATTTGGTATGAAAAATGTTCTCCATGAGCAAGCATTAATCAGAGAGTTCACCACAGAGATACTGCAAGAAAGATATGAAGAAAAGAACATTTTGGAGTGACATTTTGGAGCGACATATTCTAACGATGCAAACGCTCCACCAGCTCATGTGTAAATAATAATATCCAATATTACTGTTGACTCTGAGCTGAATAAAACAGGACAGATCATTTTATTATTGCTTAATCAATGACCCAATATTTATAAAATGGCATTTCTGTTACTAGCTTTCACTTCAGAAGTAGCATAATAGTGTTTGAAAATAGCCACCCTTTGAGATTCTCACGTTAGCTAGCTCGACTGAATACTGTTTTCAGTTGCCTAGCAACCTTTTCTCATTTGCCCAGCTCAAGGAATATATACATTTGGTTTTATATATCAAATCTACATTGTGCACTTTTTTGAAGAAAATTTGTTCTTAAGGTTTTTTAAAAATTGCATATGGTAATAAGATATATGTCTACATTTTCGACTGGTACCCCTGTCCATGTTGTGCCTAATGACAATGATTTTCAAATGGGAAGAACCGAATCTTGTGGATTATTGCTTTATCAAAAACTCGGTGGTTGCCTCAGGGGGAAAAAACTGTGTTCAGATGCCCAAGAAGGATCTCAGGCAAGATCTAATAATTGTCCAGTTAACCATCAGTAACTTGACCTCTGCATCTCTGCTCTGGTGAAGTTCACTGACAGAATCGTTAGACTCTGTAATATTTCACAGCTTCAGCAGATTGCATGACCTCTGTACATCTGCAGCTAATTTAGTGGGCATTCCTGTAGTCAGTGATATGGAATTATCACACGGACTATCTGTGGCGGCGATGAGGGTGTGTGCCTATTGTGTTGGGGGTAGGGGGGTGAAAGAGACGCTCTCTGAAAAATGCAGACAGGCCCTAAGAAGAAACTTAACCTCAATTATATGCTCTGGGAGAGAGACAGTGTAGAATACTGACTTGACATTATGCCATGCAGAAAGGCTCTACGACAGCCAATACCATACTGAAAGATCAGCAGTGGACTGACTGTGGATTTGGTTCAAGACATCAGTTCCAGACAGATCTGCAGACAAAATATAGTAATAATAAAGACTATACTCAATCACCAGCTGAAAGCATAGTATACAGGTCATCAGTGAATATACGATTGGACACAATAATTCAAAAAGGTAGCTACCATTTGTATCTGTTGAACTAGATGTTCATTATATTTTTACATATAGCAGACCTCACATATCTCTTGTGATCTGCACTTGAATTCACCCCAGGTTAGATTGTTTTCATATGGGTTTTTACAAAACAAAGGATTGTTCTACGTATTAAGGAGTAAATGAACCTGACATATTATATTGTTAACAGGAAGACATTAATTCTGCAATTAGGAAAGAATTTTGGGCTAATAACCACTTTTTAGACTTTTAATTATATCTGTCACCAAGGATGTGAAAATCATTCTGAAAGGATGGTTTCAATTTCAAACCAAAAAGATAATTAAACATGGCTTTGAAACAGTATCCTTGGGGGGTTGCAGAGATGCCAATTAACCTAACTGCATGTCTTTGGAAATGTATGGAAGCCCACACAACACAGTGAAACTAATAAAATGAGGTGAGATTTAAACCTGCTGAAGGTGTAAAAGCAACTGTAAGAAAATGAGCCACCACCGCACCCACATTCAAATGGTAAATTAATGAGACTAGTGTATTAATTATTTACAACACTATTTTGTATACAAATTTTTGTGTGCGCCCTATCCCCCAATTGATATTTGGGTCCATTTTTTTTCTCCAAAGGAGTAAGCACTGAGGCATTGTAGGCATAGTTTTACCATTTAACAAAAATCAGCAAACTTCAATATTTGTGAGACAAGGCACTACTAGCTGAGTGGTAATAAGCAGCTGCCATGTTGTAGCTACGCAGCTAGAAAGGACGAGGGGCTCACCGTCGCTATTTCAGAGCCAGAATGGCGCGTTAGCATCACCAGCTAACGATGCTAGGCCACGCGGGATTTCGTACGTTAGGGTATTAGCACGAGCGAGGCTACAGCAGACCCGCGCGCTTGTGTGTTACGCGACCCACTTACAGCACAAGTGACGTTACTTACTCCAGATCCGTTATATAACGCTGAACCTAGTCAATAACTTTACTTTTACTATTGCTGAGATAGCCAAGGAAATCTGTTAATTGTCGTACTTCTAAAATTTCTGATAAACTACAGTTGCTTTATCAGGAAACAATTACGGGTATGGGCGCCAATACATGCCGAGTTAACTAACTACAGTAACTTGTTAACTCCATCTGGTCGACAGTGCTAAGTAAGTAACTACGCAGACTTAGTTTTGATATAGTTGTGTTGTTTAGCTTGTCGCATTATGAGTACGACTGAAATAAACTATGTATATACAGTATACATGATACCATATACATTTAACAGCCGTAGGTGAAGATGGGGGTGTAAATTAACGAGAAATCGTTACTGGAGAACTCAGATTACATTTTGTCTTTATACAAAAAAATTGAAACCAACATCTGTTGCCATAAAAACTAAAAGAAATTGCCTCGTTTTATGCAATTGTTGAAAGTTGGCTGCTCTTTAAAAAATTCCATCTTGTAAGCCAATGTTCCTTTATCAGACAGTACATGAAATGAATTTATTTGATATGACAGTGAAAATACATGACATTGCCAAGCTGTATATTACACACATTTATAGCCCTGTTTACGCTCAAAATAGATATTGGCGATCCGATCACGAGTAGACAGCCGCGACACATTGCCGTTTACACATGTGTCATCATGTGTCGCCAAGGTGTGCAGTTGAAAACATGTGTTTATTTTTCGTTACTGCCCCGTGCACAGTTATTGCGAAGCCCGTGTCGCGGACTTAGACGCACATTACAAAAGACACAATATGTAGTCAAGGTTGTCCCAGACCACCTCGGCAAGCGGTTTGAGTGACTGGATCACAATGCCTCTTGTTTATTGCCATTGATTAATTTCTTCCTTGAGATCACGGTACAATGTTTTTGACCCCTCAAAGGAGACAGACGCTGCACTTTACAGAAACTGTAATTATGGAAGGTTTTAACCAGATTTGGATCCAGGTGTATTTTATTTTCAAGATACTGTATTTATTTCCAAGATCCAAAACTCAAATCCAATAGTCATAATTAGTGATTAAAGAGTAATTCAAAAATTGTCTCACACACAGAAAGAAAGTTATCTTTGATGAATCAGACTAATGCTCCGTTTGCTTGGGAATGAGAATGAAGACTTTGCAGCTATGGCAAAAGCATGGGGGTTTAAATATCCACACAGTCAATGAGCCATAGCTGAAAACAATATTCTGATTAGTATTCTGGTGAGGGGGAGTGCTGATGACTTCTTGTAGACCAAACCGAAGCACATGAGGGTATGACAGGAGCTCAGTATCATGTTGGGTCCCTAGACAAAGATGATGTAACTGGTCAAGCAAAAGTTGATTGTCATATGTACTGACAATGAGATACATGCCTCCTGCACACCACATTAACAAAGAATAACAATAAGAGCTGCATCAGACAATAATTTCAGCACTAACAGTAACACAAACCATAAATAACACACAATAACATTAAAAATGTATCCTAAGAACAGATGGCAAATGGGAGCGGTGATGATAAATTCAATGTGCAAGTGATCAGCAGTTAATTCTGCAATGTTCTTATAATTAGCAGCTGTTGATTAACCTTGTGACTTGCTGCAAAAAACTTTCTCAACCTTTTTGGTTTACTGGCTGGTGTTTTTGTGCCATCTGCCAGAAGGAAGAGGGGGAAAGTGACTGTACAGGGTGCCAAGTCCGTGATGATGTTGTCAGCATTTCTGAGGCGGCCAGTAGTGAAAATATCCAGAAGTGAAGGCAGCTATATCTTGGAGATGATGTGAAAAGTTTTCACCAATCTGCCTGGTGCTCTGCAGTCCTCAGATGAGCAGTTGAATAGCGACATCCATAGAAGTTGGTGAGGGCTGTTTGTGAAATCTGGACTTTCTTCAGGTGTCAGTAGAAGTATTGATGATGGTGGGTGTCCTTGATTGCTGCAGATGTATATTGATCACATGAGGTTGTTTGTGATGGTGAGCTTGAACCTGCTGATCCTTTTCACAGCCTCCTTGCCAGTGGTCTGCCTCCTGCTTCCTGAAATTAATGATCATCTCCTTGGTTTTGCTGATATTAAGCAACTTAGTCTCGTCCTTGTAGGTTGACTTTATGTTTGTGATCACACCCAAAAATGTAAAATTTGTTGAAGTCATGTAGCCACACAATCATATGTGAACACGGAGTCCAGCAATGGGCTCAGTGTATCACTTTATGTGCTGACTATGTTGACAATCAGAGTGGAGGAGGTTTTATTTTCCACCTCCCTCTACTATGGTTTGCCAGTGAGAAAACGAAACACTTGCCTATCTACAACTTGTGATTTTACATATTTATAGTAAAGTGATTTTTTTTTTATATAAACCACAAACTCCCTATGGGATAAGCACAATTAAAATTGTACCCTAAGTGGTGTCCTGTGCCTGACATGTAATTGATGGGGTGCAGCCTCTGCATAGTTTTAGGAACTTGACAAGGGTACTCTTGAGACTGCCACTGATGTGGATATTTCCTGTTCTTGTGGACTGCATAACCAATTGAGTCAATGATGACAGACTGCATAAACAAACTGTTTTGGGGGCAGGGGTTCATCTAAGCAGGGACTCTGGGACAAGCACAATCAATGCTTCAGTGCTCATGCTTTTGACCCCTGGGACAGCTGTAGAATTATCTGGGCTACATGTCCTGCTCCAAAGTCACGGATGCTCTTGTGGTCTCAAGGTAACTTTAGTTTGATTGTTCGCTTCTTGTTAGTGGCCCCGGTAACCTCCGGGTGCTGGTAATTGCATTTTTTCTTTACCAGGCATTGGCTACATTGTAGATATAGGAGTTCTTGGCAGTTTCTTTGTTTGTTCTTTTCATTGCTACCTTTTTTATGTGATAGTACGGAAAACGTTTTCTTAGATCCTATCAGATGGCACTTATCAAAATTCCAAATACAGTGGTACCTCAGTTCTCGAACTCATTAGAACTCGAATTTCTTAAAAGTCGAGCCAATCAGTTTGAAAAAAAAAAATTACCTAGAACTCGATCTGAATCTGAGAAGTCAAACCGTGAACGCCGATGTAAGATAACTTGTACGCGCGGGGAAATGAGTCACGCGGCACGTCTCTCAGCGGAAACAAAGGGTAACGCTTCAGTCTCAGCCTTGCATTCGCTGTGAAAGCATCGTGCATGTTTACACTAGCCGAATACTTATATTTAGACAGTAAAAATACATTTAGAAAATGATAGACAGTAACAGTAATTATTATTATATAATAAAATACATTTAAAAATAAAGATTTCTTATTAATTATTTTAATATTAATAATAAACCATTAATACATTTAATTATAATATTGTTGTGCCGAGCGGGGACGGAACGGAGACAAAGGCGTAGACGTCATGGTATCGGAATACGGGGTTTAATTACAGGTAAAGCAGGCAAAACGCAGACGGACAATACAATGACCAGACTGGGGAAACAAACTGAAACGCGGACGAAATACAGAGGACTAATGACAACAACCAGAAACAGCTGATCACACAGGGATTCCAAACGGGGTTAACGAGGGGGCGTGGCACACGGAAGGAGCAGATGATCTGGGCAGGACACATTGGTTTTTTTTTTTAACTTTACACATTGTTTGGATACATTTATTTTCTTACTATAGAAATTACTGTCTTGATAAATGTGCTTAGATGTGTTTAGTACAGTATGCTTTTCTTGTTTTGTCCGGTTCATTTTGCGTTTAAATGCTAAAAGAAAAAATATTTCAGTGTAATTTTTTGGGGCCGGGAACCAATTAATTGGTTTTCCATTATTTCTTATGGGGAAAATTCGATCAGAACTCAAACTTTTTAGGATTCAGTCTGGAGTTCTGAACGGATTAATTTCGAGTTCTGAGGTACCACTGTATGTTTCTTGATCACATCAAACTATGTATTTATTTACTACTGGAATTTTTTTCTTGTAAACTGCAGCAAAGCAAAGTGCTTGACACCTTATACTTTTATTGTGCTCTTTCTCACACATTTCTGAACTTTTATGAAAAGGAACCCAGAAACAAGAAGAACAGCCAGATGTTGTATATGCAATGATGGATCCAACCCTGTAGCTACAAAGGGGCAACATGGCTTAGAGTTTGGTAATATTCTTTTGCAAAGACCTGCAATCCCCTGGATTCTTTATTTTTACTTTAGCTAATACGTAGAGCTAAGCGTGCATCATTGACCAATTTTCTGTTTATTTCCTGTTTAGATCATCTGATAATAGTAGGCCCGCTCCACTACTGCTTATACTTGTACTTGGGCCTTCATTGGGCGCTCAATCTAGCAGCACTTATGCCTAGTTGATTCCTTGTCAGTGTGTAAGTTTGCTATTTGCCTTACTTATACCTACGGCTGGGTGATATTGCTGAAAAACAGCATCTCATTGTTTTAGGTCATTGTAGCAATATTCCATATATATCAATGCTATTGAATTTGTATTGTATAAGCAGCCTATTAAATCCTATTTTCTGCACTGTATCGATGGGGGCCATATCCTTTGCTTTGTGTTAGGTATCCGTAGCCATAATCTCTTTCTACTTAGCACTGTCCTTTTTGTAAAGTGCACCTTGTGAAAATGAAGATGCTAATGCTCCTTGCTTTGGGCTATACGGACTTTGATGCATTCTTTGTACTGAACATCGTACTGGTTTCTGAGACGATGGAATAAATTTATAATACTGCTAGCTTCAGTTTTTCCAGCATACATGACCGTGTTTTGCTGTTCGTCTGACCTTTCGAAGCCAAACCATCTCCTCACAATAGATCCGGGGCTGCTCCCTTACTGATTAATTCTTTGTTTGTGCTCTCCAACTCTACACTAACTCGATCAATTCTCTCGTCAGTTTGCACCATTATCAACAATGAGTATAAGTGAGGGGTAAAACATGAAATATGTTCAATTTAACAGCTGATCCTTTATTTTTTCATAGTACCTCCTTTGAAGTACATTGAGATGAGTTGAGATGTCTGGGAATTAATTTGCATTTTTTAGGAGTGCCTGTAAAGACCTTATTCTTTGCTTATTTGCATATACAGAGGGCGCTGAATACCTTGATCCAGTGACTACATTATAAACCATGCCTCCACAGAGGCAAGCTGTGATTGTAAAACCATTAAAGACAAATATTTTTATTATTCACAAATACA